ATGTTCCTTCCCCATATAATCCACTTGGCTCAGAATGTAAAGCACATCGATCTTGTATGGGATCGCTACCTGCCAAACAGCCTGAAGCAAGGTACACGTGAATCAAGAGGATCAGGAGACAGKAGACGAGTATGTGACAATGCACCTATACCTTTGAAATGGAAGCAGTTTTTGAGAGTGGATGAAAACAAGACAGAGCTGTATGATTATCTTGCCAAGTATGTTAGCTCTATCAACCTACCATCAACACAAGTCATAAGCACAGCTTCCATGGATATTTTAAGTTCCAGTACAATAGATAAGGAGGGCCTGGCACCATGCAACCACGAGGAGGCTGACACACGCATCTTTTTGCATGTCAAGCACGCATCAGTAAATGGAATGAAAAAGGTCCTAATACGAACTGTGGACACAGATGTTGTAATTCTAGCAATTGCTTTATTACACAAGCTGCAACTTCTGGAACTTTGGGTTGGCTTTGGTGTCGGAAAGCATTTTCAGTGCAATGCATGCACTGTTTCAGTGCTTTGCATGGTAGCATTTGAAATATTCAAAAAAATGCTTTTAGTCTTAAATGAATAATAACTAATTCTGAAAAACACTAACTTTAAGTATCTTTTGGGCCAACGGGTATTTTTGTTAAGTTGATAATGTGAGCAAGAGCAATCCAGCATGTTCCCAAAAGATCAACTCTGCCAGATGGCCAGCATTGGTTTAGAATTCGGAGTGTTGCCATGTCAAAATTGAGACAAATATCATCATCATCATATTGCGAGTTGTATTTAATAGGGGGTCTGTTGTAATGTAGACCTCGCTCATGACATAAATCAGAAATGGCAAATCCTTTGTCCAGGTGGACAATAGTCCAGAACACCAATCTCTTCAATTAGCTTTTCATTTGAAATAGTTCCTGGATAGGCATCAGAACATTTGCACACTTCCCCATGAGGAAATATCCAGACAGACACTTTCCTTGTAGTATGGTTTTATAGTGTAGACAAAGTCACATTATTCAAGTCAAAATTTTCTGACTGAGCAATCCATGTTTCAGTATTGTCTCCCAGTATTCCGCAGTCACCAAATCCTCCATCAATGAACTTCTTTGGCATGTGTTTCTCTAAAAATCCAGGTAAAGGCTTAAGAACGGCTTAAGGTCAATTGATTCAAAGACAGTACGGATTAATATCAGTCATGCAACAAAGATTCTGGACATAGTGGATGAACCACTCCCAGCTAATTTAGCCATAACACCAAGATCTGTAGCATGTCTAGCTATTGTCAGCGTCACAAGTAGCTTAGACTGTTTATCCAGCAGTTTATTATTAGCATCAATCTTATTTTCTTTGTCCACACAATCCGGGTAGATCAAGAGGTGTACAAATGGGCTTAAACACTCAAAAAGGCAATCAAATTCTTTTACTGTCAGACCACACATATAGAAAAATTCTTTTTCATTCCTTTTCACGTTGATGTAGTCAAACGTTCTCTTTTGTTTTTCAAATTCCAACATATTGATCCTCTTTTCGTGCAGAACGCATTTGTCTTGTAGTTCTTTAATTTCATTATGTAATCTTTCTACATCCGCTAGTCGCTGTGACAAAGAGTCATTTTCAGATTTCAGATTTTTTAGTTCTTTCTGCAATAAGCGATTTTGCTTTTCATATTCTTTGATCTTTTTTTTCGTAGCACATATTCACTTCTTTCTTTTGGAGGCTTTCTTTTGTTGTTTGGCTTAAGCTTAATCACTGATTGTGCAGTTTTAACACAACTTATCTTCTTTTTTGTTTCCTTGCTAAAGATGTTTTTGTTCAACAATTTCTTCTTATTCCCTCTCTCATTAGAGCAATTTTTGCTTAACTCTTTCTTGAACTTTTTTATTTGTTCGTTTGAACAAATGAGTTCGGGAACATGATCAACAGATCGTCTTATGCCCCCTGTCCAATGAGCGGAACAGATTACTTGCTTTAACCAGTTGATATTGTCGTTTTTTAGGACTACAGAATATTTTCTTCTTAAATCAGGATCACCAGGTAGCGTTAACTATTTAGGACCGAAATGATTTCATTTTGTATTAAACTCACGACCGCATTTTAAAAATATTAAATTTCTAGCCTTAARGTCACGTGAMCACTTGATGTCAATATTGAACACTCTAAATTGTCACAAACGTTAAATGWAAAATTGTGTCAAAACATGAATACAGTAGATGAGAACCATATCGAGTTATACACAAAAACACTGTTTTCAGCCTAGCCTCTGTGAACCAGGCCTTAACGTACTCGAGAATGCCAAACCATTTTTCACGGGGACTTGCAATGTTTACCATCCGCCATCTTGGATTTTTGTCCGGTGTAGTGTACAGTCTCTAACGGTTTGAAATCCGGCAATAGATTACTTCAACAATACTTACATATTTCTATATCTTTAGGATCGAAGTGTTTTTCGCAGATGTTAACTTTGTCCTTGTCGATTTGATTTTGGAAATCTTTGTCGATTACTCTAGATTTGTCAGCTCGTTGAGCCATTCTTGCCGCCATTTCTTGTACTCGCCATTCCTTGGAGAAGCTATATTACCCATGGAGAAATGAAGCTGAACTATTAGGTACAGATCAATCATATGTATCTAAATTTCATGACCTTCATGTACAAGAAATTGTAGAATTCAATAGATCAGTATTTGAACCAGATGCAGATGCAGTTACAGAAGCTCTTGAATATCTTTGAAACAACCAGGGTAACATTACTCATGGCACATTAGAAGAGGAATAATTTCATGAACAAGTACCTTCAGACTTAGGGCCAACATCTGATTCTAACCAACATGCACCACAAGCAATAAGTGCATATATCCAGCCTAATGAAATATCAGATGATACACTACGYCTTAATGTTAGATCATTGAATAGTAAACAACGCTGTGCATATAACATTGCCATCTCATGGTGTAGAACTACAATGAAAAATATGAATTGCTTAAAACAAGAGCAAGTTAAATCAATTGATCTCTTTATAACGGGTGGTGCTGCTGCAGGAAAGAGTAATTTAATCAAAGCAATTTGTCATACAGCAGTCAAGACTTTTCGATACCGTAGTGTCAATCCAGATAGACCTACCGTTGCTTTAATGGCATCAACTGGTGTTGCTGCTATCAATATTAATGGTACTACAATTCATACTGCAATGTCAATTCCTAAAGAATCAGGAGATATGTTAAAACCAATGTCAGAYCAAAAAAGAACACAATTAAGATTGACTCTATCTGAACTTAAACTAATAATAATAGATGAAATATCTATGGTTGCAAACACTTCTTTRTTAAACATTCATCAAAGATTAAAGGAAATCTTTAAGACACCTCTGAGTTGTTTTCTGGAATAAGTTTTATAGCAGTTGGTGATCTATATCAATTGCCACCAATACGCAGGAGAGCTGTCTTTGAGGACTACAAAAATGATGCTTTCAATTTATGCCACCCGTGGGGTATATTTAGAATGATTGAACTTACAGACATAATGAGACAAAAGGATGATCAAGCATTCACCCAACTTTTAAACAGATTCAGAACAGGTTCCCAAACTCAAGAAGATATCCAATGTATTCAGTCAAGATCAATCACACCTTCTGATAATAATTACCCACATGATGCTCTACATATATGGGCAGAAAATAAGCCTGTTGATGACTACAATACAACAAGATTAAATCAAATACCAGCACAGGAATTAATTCTTACTGCAATTGACCAATATCCACGACATGTCAGTAAACAGGATATTGACAAATTTTTATTAAGAAGCAGATCAGAAACGAATGGACTTGATCCGTATTAAAGAAACTGACAGAGTAATGTTGACAAGAAATGTAGACATTGCTGATAGATTAATAAATGGTCAAATGGGAACTGTAATAAATATTGGAATTAATCAAAATACTCAAAAGCCAAAAATTCTTTATGTAAAGTTTGATGACAATGAAGCTGGAAGGAATGCAATGAAAAAACACAGTACAGATCCATTTGTTAAAGAAAACAGTGGTTCCTATAGAACCAGTTCTAGCAAGAATGAAACTGAGACCAGGAAAACCTTCATCACCAGAAATAGAAAGAACACAGTTTCCTTTAACACTAGCATATGCTTGTACTGTTCATAAAGTGCAAGGCTTGACTTTGCAAAATATTGTAATCAGTTTTGACCTAATCAAACAGAGATCATTTAATCATGGTCAAATATATGTTGCATTAAGTCGTTCAACATCATTGCAAGGAATTCATATCCTTGGACAAATTGAAATGAAACACATTAAGGCAAACCCTAAAGTACACAAGGATTATGAAAGGTTAAGAAGTATCCCACTATTACCATTATGTAATGTTCCTTGCCAACACAAGTCACTCAAAGTCACTCATCAAACATGACCTTACAGTTTCACTATTAAATATAAGATAGCATTGATATCAAGTGTGATGCTGTCATATTCAATAGTCATATATTAGCTCTAACAGAAACCCAGCTCCTCCCTAATAGTACAGATATTGAAATAAGAAGAAACTTAGAACCATTTGCACTGTTTAGACAAGATCATCCATCAGGTAAATTCTCAAGTCTCGCATTATGCATCAGAGAACATATACAATGCGTGTACCATTCCGCCATTCAATTTTCATATATTTCAAAATATAAAAATATAGCAATTAGGCCTATCATTTCAAATTTCGAAAATTGGAATTTGAATTTTGATCGTGATTTTCAAAAATTCTATTTTTGAAAAATGAGTTTCAGATTTCAAATTTTGTTTTTCATTTTTTTCATTTCAAAAAGATAAACTTTGAATACGGTTTCAATTTTTTAAAACTCGTTTTTCATACTTCCAAAATTGGAAAAATAATGAGCGCCAGTATTGACGATCCCCCCTCCCCTGCGAACGAACTTGTTTTGTATAAAATGCACCCCCCAGGTTTTCTAAATATTTCCAAGATGGCCGCCGTCTACAGCAATGGAAAGTTGTATGTGCTTTCTTTCCAAATCATGCAAATGTTATTGAGTAAAACTCAGATTCAACGGTTGCAAGACAATTCTTTCTGCATGGCCTTTGATATTTCAAGTAGTTGGAGTCAAGACAGCGGTGTTCTGGAGCATCAATCTGCTTATTAAAGCTTATAAGTAAAGGCGGAAGGCCGAAATTTCTTGACTTCGGACACTTAAAAAGAATGGTACAGTAATCTTTTACTTATCTGAGTGCCGAGCTGATTACGTGAATGAGTGGCAGCCGTGGAATTGAGCTGAGATGAGTAAGTATATTATACTAGTACACGTAATAAGCTAGNTGTTGGTGTTCCTATATGACTCTTCCTTGGTGTTCAATGCATCAAACATCCTATAATTAGTCAATCATACGTTTATGACTCTACTAGCCATAATTAGATATGATAAGTTTGACATATCAATATTAATTCCTCCATATAATATTATTGTCTTAGATTTCCAGGCTGCCATATTTGTTATGTATCAATACCCAGTTTTGATACACACTACAAACTTGACTTGACTTAACAAGCTTAACCATGGTTCACATTGTATAMAAGCAATACCCATAGATGATACACAGTRCTAAAAATCAAAGTAAGGTACTTAGAAAKTATACTGAAAACAGGMATAAATACTAAGAMATGCATTTAAGCATAAATTATGTATTAGAGTGTTTTAAAGGTGCACCCAAAATATAGTGCTTTTTTCCTTGTCATCCAAAATCATGTTTGCAATGTCACACGATTACAMTAAAAKAGGTATTTCCTGTATGTTTGAGGCCTACACAGACTAAATTTAATGGTGTTTTTGTTGATATTGGTTGTAACCAGAGCATCTAGATTATCTCAAAAGATGAAGTGTTGACAACACAATCAACCTATACTAAACAAAGTGGTATTTTGTGCATGCTTGAGGCCTAGTGAGATTAAATTTAGGTGTTTTTGTTGAGACAAGTTGTAATCAGCACCTCTAKTATCAATATATAAAATGATGTTCATGACGWCATTTCTTTTCAGAGACTTACTGAGACTTCTTTTAATCTTTTTTGTCATTTAGATCATTGCAGATAATAAATTCTTGTTGATAACAGAATTATGTTCTTCTCTTTTCAGTTAATCTATGTAATTTCCACAATTTTTGGACATGAATAGAAAGTTCACAAGGTTTTAGAGTGTTATTCTTACTAGAAGCACAGGAAACCCAAGCCAGAACTTTGATTAGAATAAATGATTATACATAAAATGAAAACTTATAATAAAGACTACTGTATATTTCTCATCAAAATTGTTTTGTATGGCTCAAGAGGATAACACTTACCAGCTCAACAAGGAATGTACAATTTTGTTGAGAAATATTTRTCATGAATATATAGGGGTTAGTTTAAAATGTATTTCATTATACGTTGCTACTCATGCCATTGAGCACTTTATTTGATTTTTTGATAAAAGCAATTAAAACTATGATATACATTTACATTATATGTGTGGAGATTTGTATCCTTTTCGCGTCTGATCAAAACAAAGRAAAAKGATCTCTGAAGAAGAATGABAAATCGGGTAAGGGGTGCTGGAATCGTTGAAATGGCTTGGCAGTGTAATTGACTGAAATAGGCTTTTGAAAGTATCCCAAATTTACAAATTGTGCGCGGTTTAATTTAGAGTTGAATTTCCTCTTTTTGACACACTCTTGACGTCATAAAACACTCAGAACTCAAGTGGAACCTCAAACGCATCTAGAACTTACAACAACAAAAACTGAGCAATTTGTTACTTTACCACATTGTATAAAGTCTAAAAATTAGCGAAAATCATTCAGCAGTGTGCATGCCCTTCTTTAACCAYTGACACACTCTAATAAGTCAATCAGTGTACAAGAATTTCCACAATTTTAGTGGTGAAAAGCAATTTRCCATTCACTTATGAAAACCTACTGCATTACAACTTAACTCTAGCAAATGATAATATGTAATTTTCTCACACAAACGACATAAGATTTTTAGATTTTACCAGTTATGGTATATATAGTCATGTTATATATTGTATTGAGGGGAAGTCACCCGCAAATTTTATTGCTAGAGTATGTCACACATTGAATTGAGTTTACATTTATCAATTGGACTGTAAACGTCAAACTGGCCTTCTCGCTCGTGGAAAAGGCCACTTTTTCTGTGTATTTTTTTTATTGGACTGTAAACTTCAAACTGGCCTTCTCGCTCGTGGAAAAGGCCACTTTCTGTGTGTGTGTTGTTGTTGTTTTTTTTTTTGCCCGGCAATTTTTTTATTCGGGGTAAAGAACTTGCCTGTCATACATAATGGCAATACTTCTACACATGCACGTCAAACGTCGTTTATCATATATGGTGAAATGAAAAGTTCRGTCCCAGTTTGGTGCCCTGGGGTATACACAGACAGTCCGGACTTGACAGCTCAGATTAGCAGTCGAAAGACAAGTGTACCCCCGTTGATACTTTTGCGCCACGAGGACTACATATCAAGGAGCAATCCCATCGGAGGAGAGAATGCTAGAAGCAGTCTACGAGTCTGTTGTCTATGTCTATGTACTTTGCAATACTTGAACACTTTGCACTTTAAAAACAGTATGGTGCGGTAATGCGTATAAAAATGTAAAGATATAAATTAATATATAAATAAATAATCCTCCATCAAAAACTGTAACTTTCCAAACAGCAACTATTGAAGAGCACAACGCGTATGGAATATACCCATCTTCAACGAAGGAACAGCAGTCCCTCGCTATATCAATTTAAAGGGGATGTCTATACATATACTACATGGAGATGACCTGACTCTTTTTTGACATTGATAAGACACTRGATTTCAAGTCTATCTACGTGAAGTGCCACGACGCCTGCCCGCTTGCCGCTTACCGACCGATTGAAAGGGGGCCTAGAATAGTCCCCTTTGACTAGCCAGCGAAGATMAAAATTGGACAGTTCATCCGGGAATAGTCCCATTTGGCTAGCGATTGAAAATTAGAATTGTACGTTTGACAAGGTATCCTGCAAACTAGTCCCCTTTGTCTAACGACTGAAAATGAGAATTGCAAGTTGGACAAGGAGGCATAGTATAGATACTCGAAATTTACATCAAATTTAAACAAATCAAATCTACATGAAATGATTAAATTTCCAAAATATTTCCAGAATATATACGAATATTTGCATTTTCTGTAAATATAAGTTAAATTTGTAAAAATAGTAGCACAACGATCGCTAATTTTGTATTTAAGATATTCCGCACAGCTGAAAACACAGGGATCCCAAACAAACGACATGAGAATTTCAGGTTTTAGCATTTATGGTAACATAGTCATGTTATAYATTGTTTTGAAGCAAAGTCAATCGTGAAATTTATTGTTAGGGCCATGTATATTGTCACATTGAACTGAGTTGACAATTATCAGCGTGACTGTATACTCAAACTGGCCTTCTCGCTCGCGGAAAAAGGCCAATTTTTCTAATTAAAGTGGACAGATTGAAGTTCTTTTTTTTGTTCGGCAAAGTTTTTATTCGATCGGCGTAAGCAATCTCC